TAGCTCTACCAATTATGGAAACCAAGAATCAGTCGAATGCTTTCCTAATCTCTTTACGGGAAAATGCAAATTCTCTACGATAATAGATAATGCTAGTGTCATTTCCCTCACACGGGAATTGTTGGTGAGGACCCTTGAATATGCCAATGTAATAGCCTGTATTGGGAACTGCCAAGTACTGTATATCTTTTTCCTTAAACGGACTAGAAGAGTCAACACAATCTTGGTTATCAATTTTCCCCTTGGCAGTGATGTTTTTCGTATGTGTGCGGGTGGGCGTGGGGGTGGAAAGAGCGGGAGCTAGCGGTTGGAGTGTAGAGCATAAAAACGATGTATAGCAATTAATATTAATGAGGAATAATTCGAATTTAATATTATCATACAAAATATGGATGTATAAGAATCACCACTATTGCGATACTACAGACTTGTTTGAGAATTTGTCATCATGTGATATGATGAGGACATATTTGAATTAAAGTTACTGGAACAATATGGGGACAACTGGTAATTATCATTCATGGGCAGTATTGAAATGCGTGAGAACTAACATTATTTGGGGACTTTGGGGATGTATAGAAATTTAACACTAGAGAGATCGATGGGGATGCATGGAAATTAACATTACTAAAATTCTGTTGAAATATTTAGAAATTTACCATAATGTGAAAATATGGAGATGCATGTGAAGTAATATTACTGGTAAAGAATGGGATGTATAGGAATTTATCATTATGGGAAGTATGTGAATTTAGTATTATCTGGTACTGTGGGGATGTAGAGAAATTGAATATTATCTGCTCTGGGCCAGTTTGGGTATTACTGAAAGTAACATTACAGGACCGATATCTGATCTCATGACAATTCAACATCAGTGGTTTATAGTTTTAGTGAAATGTAGCATTGTGGATGATGATATGACCCCTCGTTATGCGATAGTCCACACACACACACACACACACCCCACCCACCCACCCATATATATATATATATATATATATATATATATATATATATATATATATATATATATATATATATATATATATATATATATATATATATATATATATATATATATATATAGATATATATATATATATATATATATATATATATCTATATATATATATATATATATATATATATATATATTTATATATATATATATATATATATATATATATATATATATATATATATATATATATATATATATATATATATATATATACGTATTTGAGAAAGGTTGCCAGTAGATTCCTCTGGGTCAGTGATTCTGCTACTTCGCCCATCAGATATACATGCCTATTTATAAAAGTTCTATTCTTTTATAAGTATAAGTTTTATCCAACATATTGTTCTTTGTCGGAAAGATTTTTAAAAACTAATACATTTGTCATTAAATGTCATTGAAACTGAATCGAAATATTATTCAGAAATCAAGGTAAGAGCAGTCCAGGAAAATGGTGCTTTTTGATGTAAAACATTTAACTTTACAGATTTCTTAAATTTTCTTAAATATATCTAAATTGGTCCATTAGTTTCGGGAATGATCTGTCTTTCTAGGTAGAAATGGAAGCATTATGCCATGATGTGACAGTTGTAGTGAAATATGTTATCATTTGGAGTATGTTTGGCCTCGGGAAAGGAATTAATCCTTTGGGTTTCAAACATAGCAGTCAAGATCCAAAACGAAACTTGACAGCGAAATGAGAACCCTATGTTAAATAGGGTAAACTTAATGTATCGCCAAAGAAGAAATTAATGTTATCTCTCAATGTATAGTACCTTGGGAGAATGGCAAATAAACATCAGACCACTACATTTGAAGTATTACCGGTACAATAGGACTTAAATTCATACACGATTTATAATGATAAACATACGGATATTTTTATGATAGTATTTCCCAGCTTAGTTATACAATCTCATATGAAATGTAGTATAACATTAAGTTCCTCGTTCTTTTTATAATTACCCATTATATTAAATCTATGAATAATCGGCATTGGGATATTCATAAATAAAAACCAGGCCTAGCCTTGATTTCTTCTTGTCCATTTTCACTCATCACATTAAACATTTGAGAGTTTAACACTGGATTTCTTCCTGCCCTCAGAATCCCACGAAATGGTCCGCTAATATTATTTCACAGTGTTTCTCTAATTGCACAGAAATGGAGGTTTAATGCTTATTTCCCATCGCCCCTTAAGTGCAATAACAGTTGGTGGCCTAATGTTAATGTCTCGTTCCGTTTGTTTGAAAGCTCTTTTGGCTTTTTCAGGATTTCCGTTTGGCTCTCAGGTTCCAGTTTGGGATCCAAAGTAAATGAACAGAGCAATAGGTCATTTGGTCAAGGACAGATCTTTTAGCTTTATATTGGCTGTATTGAGCTTAGTTTATAGTAGGTTATACAATGAACAAAACAATCATCTTAATCAAATGTAAAAAGCCAAAATAGACATGCGTAATAAACAGTCCGGTAGATTATACATATTTAAATATGTCCAAGAAAGTAACGAAATGCTGTTATACACACTTGACGTATAAAGCGTCTGGCCCATGAAATTTTAATATCATTCTAATTGAAAAGTTAAGTACACTAGATGAGATAAATTACATTGTCTCTCTGCTTTCTTGCCTAACCGGTTTTATATGTTGTTTGGAAGGACCAGATTGCTGTCTGACACGCTTTACATAAATTGCGTCAGGCACCGTGTTACTGAATAAGGCCACTTACGTGCCCACAGTACAATGCAGTATCATGCATGCATAAAATACAAAGTAGAACAAATAGCAGACTTATTAGCAACCAAATAACAAATATGTTACAATCTTCGTTTCGTGCATATTTTGCCGTTAACATTCTTAATTGACAAACTCATATTCGTTAAGTACTATGAGACTTGGGCACTTAACAGACACGGAATAATTCTGCAATTACAGCCCTATTACCGACCTATCTACAACCATAATTTTAGTTTGAAAGCGCAAATAGAAACAATGCTAAATATTCAAACAAAATCTATAACAATTTTTCTAATTTCTATAATAGCTATTGTCAGGTTACTGCATTTTATATATTGTTGTCACGTTATGGCCGTCATGAAATGAAATTTGCAGCTTTGAGGACACATATTGTATAGGTCTACTGAGTAAATTCGTCTTTTAATAGAAACAAATACACATTTTAATTTCACCATGTCATCAAGGTAGGAAAAAAAGACAGTACAAAACTGCTTGTAATGGGGGAAACATACCCGTTAAGTAATTTAGATCCCGTTTTTGAGTTAGGGATATTAAGGTCCAAAATTGACGTCAACCGATTTGAAATTTGATGCTGTCAGTCAGACAATGTATTTTTATAATAACACTCCCTCGTTTATGGAGATGGCTGTCATATAATCTCAATTTTTAAACAGCTGTATTACCTTTATTGTGATACGAATATAAGTATTATAGGTGCTAAGTTAAAAATGGGACTTTCTTGAGGTCCCTAACACTCTTTATATTTGTCCAGTTGGGCCTACATTATGGGCTTTTTGTCATGTTGTTAACGATCCTTACATTTAGCCATTTAAATACTGGGCTTTTCATTAATCATAAATCTTTGTATCATAATGTAAATATATGTGCCAGGAAATCAAAGCTCTCCTGCGTGGTCACAGTACATATCCTCCAAATGGTGTTCCTTGACATGCTACACTATACAACTTTCTCCAATATTTCTCAATTATAACCCGATCTCAAGATTGATTTTTTCCTGAAGTATTCTCTCCAGTGGATGCACAGAAGTGTAGCTTGTGGCTATTTTAAAGGGCAAATGATTGCGATTGAACTTATTTGACTATTTAGGATTTATTCACTATACCGTAAGTTCTTTTTAAATTTGTCTTGGTTTCCTAATGAAGTAAGTTATTTGTAAATTTTACAAACCGTGATGACTTTTTTTTTTTGCTCTTATTCCTTACTTAGTTTAAGAGAGAGAGAGTGTGTGTGTGTGTGTGTATCCGTGGAATAAATGTATCTAAGTTATTACTTTCACTTGTGAATAAATATTTTGTCCGCAGAGATGCTGTCTGCGAAGCCCTAATTTTATTTCTCTTTTCCGAATGCCATCATTCTTTATAATATTTACTGTAAAGACAATGGAGCAATGCAAAGGACGACAGCAAGTATTAAGAATGACAAATATTAAAGCATGTATCGTTTATCGCCCAGATATTTGAATCAATTTGTGTATTTTCCTTGGTCATCTATAAAGGTAAACGAAATATTCCGTTTCATTACGATCGTTAAAAAATAGATATAGAGACAACTAAAGTTCATTGCGATCGCTAGTATGAAAATCTAAGACGTTTAGATATAGACACAACTATAGTCAGTGAGCAGTAGTACCCTTAGCGCTTTGATTCATGTCAAATAAGTCCGCAGTTTGTTTACTGAAGGGCGGATACGAAAACGTGTACTTTTACTCTTAACCTGACCAGATACGTTTTGACGATAATGACGTCGTCTGCGAGCTAGTTTGGGGTTCTGATTAATGTGCTAAATATTTTGTATTCGATTGTCAGTGAATTGTCCAAACTGAGATTGAAATTGTCTATTATGCAGATATTTTATCATGGAAGTCGACATAATACAGACAAGTAAATGTCCCTAAAAAAGTAATATTGACAGGCTGCTGTCGTGCTATAATCGCAGTTATCGAACGTCTTGGTTACCATAATGTAATTATATGATCCACAAGTTAACTTTGATTCAGCGTAATCCCACACAATATAAGACCAGTGTGTGTGTGTGTGTGTGATTAGGATTTTTTTAATGTAGCAGATTATATTGATATCTAGTACTGGGGCATCTTAACGCAGACATGTAGCATGATATCTCACCCAGTCACATTATCCTGACACCAAGCCAATCAGTCCTAATACTAACCTCTTAATGCTTAGCGTCTAGCAATGCAGCTGTTAGTACCATTTTTTAAATCTTTGGATTGACTCGGTTGAGATTTGAACTCGCTGCTTCTCGCGTCCAAGGCGAACGCTCTAACCACTAGACCAACGGAGCGGTCTAGGTGAATGTGTGATGGAGCATGCACCTGTATTAAAGACTATAAGTAGTTGATAATGAAAAGTTATTATTTTCGTTGTTGTTTTGGATTCACTACCATTTTGATAGGCTGTACAAAGAGGTTAGTATATCTGTTGAAGGAAGAACTCGGGAAAACCGTGGGAAAAAAACAAAAATAAAACCAACCCCACATCACAAACAAACGCCCACCTACCAAAGGTAATATACTAATAATATTTCTTACATGGCCGAGTCGCAGTTCCAAACTGAGATTTTAACCTACAGAGAGAAGTTAGTGATCTGTAAGGACGAGTGCATTAGACTACTCGCCCACCCTGAGCCCCATAATGAGCAGTTAAAATGAGGACCATAATGAGCAGTTAAACTGAGGACCATAATGAGCAGTTAAACTGATGACAAACTATATTTCAAAGCTTAAATGAAATGGGATGAGCAAAAGGTTTTATACTATGAACTGTCATTGGTGTCGAAGGTGTTCTGTATTTTATTTTTTATTATAATCTTGACTTAAAAACGTGGTGTAGGTCACAAGTTTCAAGCACATGTAGTTTATGAAACAATTTCCTAGCTCATATGGTTTTTTAGCATTGAAATATGCAACATGGAATGTTCTATGCGGTGAGATAAAATTTTCTCCTGAGTATTTAGAAATTGAAAATATTATATTTTATTACCACAGCATTTCAATGGGTTATTAGAGAAACTGAAAATATTAAATTTTAATGCCACATCATTTCAATGTGTTATTAGAGAAACTGAAAATTTTAAATTTTAATGCCACAGCATTTCAATGGGTTATTAGAGAAACTGAAAATATTAAATTTTAATGCCACAGCATTTCAATGGGTTATTAGAGAAACTGAAAATATTAAATTTTAATGCCACAGCATTTCAATGAGTTATTAGAGAAACTGAAAATATTAAATTTTAATGCCACAGCATTTCAATGGGTATTAGAGAAACTGAATATCTTTAATTTTAATGTCACGGCATTACAATGGGTTATTAGATAAACTGAATTATTAACTGTATGCTTACAGATTACGGGTGGGGATATATCAAGATGACGGGACTTTTCTATCTGTTAAATGAGTCAAATTGCTGTATAAAGCCAGGGGTTGTTTATATCAAAATGGCTTCCAGTGAAGAAGCTGGTTACAGTAAAATTCTTGCTCTGTAAATAGTTATGTATCGGTAGGTCTGAAAGTCACAAAATAAGATTATTTTTCGCTCAATACAATGTAGGAGTGGGGTGGGGTTGGATCGGTTGTTTTGTTTTCTTACTGTGATTTATTGATATGTGCTTCCTGTCGGCCGCTATAATATTTCTCATTTTTTCACTGTGTAATGTAGTTCAAGAGGGAACTATTAATGACTTATTTGGTTATATTTCCTACAAGTTTCTACTCGTCTTTCAATACTGGAGCATGATCCATATTATAATAGTCTGGACTGTATTCAATTAATTTAATATATGTATTCAGCCATAATTATCTTTGAAAGCAATTTTATATTTTGCTTTTTTTCTTTAGGTATTTTGCCTCCATGAAATGTACATTGTATAATCTAAGCTGCGTTGATATAAAAAGAAAAAGCTAAAGTGATTTTTTTATAACTATTTCATAAAAAATGTTTAAGTAGTGAAGGGTCATATTATACAAACAGTTTAATACTGGCAACAAATATAACTAAGAGAAACATGTCAAGTTGCATTCTTTCACAATATAATAGATTAATTTTTTACTCGATAACAAGTAGGACTTAAGAACAATTTTCCCTACGTCATACATTGCCACCAATATGTTTGGAGGAGGAAGAACCCACAAAGACCCGGGATAAACGACCCAATCACGGTAAGCCACTGGCAATACTTCTCACACATCTGCACTGGTCGTACTCGAACTCGTACTTGTGGACTCATACTTGTGATGACAACAGCGCCTGAAAACACTCAACTATGGGGTCCCCAGTATTGATATTACAAGGAAACATTCATGAATGTAACCGAATCTGTGTTCTATATTAGCGAAGCCACGCGTCCCCTATTCACCCTTGAATTTGCGAGCTCAGTTAGAAGAGATTATTTTTTTACCAGAAGATAAATAACAAGTTACAATGTTTTCTTGTATCCTCTAAGATGGTGAAAAGTCACGTACATTCGTGGCAAGCTAAAAAACAGGGGTCGAGGTTTCCAGTTCAATTTATTTAATATATTGGTCCTAAATTTGTCTTTTGGGGAATTTCAGATACAGAGAAAACAGACTTATCTAAGCCAAGAAAGCTTTATTAAAGTTGGATCATACTGTAGCGCATTGGGTGATAAAATGTCTGGCTCTAAACTGTAGGCAAGTACAGTACGTCTAATTAAAGGATGATACAGTCATAAGGTAAAAGCATGGAAACTAGAAAGGAATTTAGTGTATATGTCTGTCATGAAGAATTTAACAAATGACTCAAAAAATGTATGCTACTGAAACCCATCAGTGGTCATTATGATGATTAGTGTTTGGTCAAATGTAAAACTTTAACGGAGAAATCTTGATTAAATGGGTTTGATAATCGGGGCCTTGACCAATAAAATCCGGGCTGAAATAGATTTATTTCTTATATATGCCAACATTGAGCCAGGTAAAGAGGACTTATTAACTTTTATCACCACTGATAAAGATTTAGATTTCACCCATATTTAGATACGTAGGTCTGGTTTTAATCCGACTGTTACATGTCTTTAATCATGTTTGCTTAGATTTTGATTTCATTTTGAAAATGATGTAATGAGAAAGAGACAAGCATTCAAACGATGTAAGAATTAACGATCGATCATTGCGTCTCTTTGTCTCTCTACTAATTAAACTTATTTTAATGCCAAATGATAATTTAGCCATTCACACTGCCATTTGAATCCTAATTGTATTAGATGATTTGGCTTCAGTGATGAATTTCCTATTTTCATTCATCCCTGTCTGCTTGATTTGGCTTCCGTCACCAATGTCCTGCTGTCCCTCATCCCTGTCTGCTTGATTTGGCTTCAGTCACGAATGTCCTGCTGTCTCTCATTCCTGTCTGCTTGATTGGGCTTCAGTCACGAATGTCCTGATGTCCATCATCCCTGTCTGCTTGATTTGGCTTCAGGCATGAGTGTCCTGCTGTTCCTCATCCCTGTCTGCAAGATTTGGCTTCAGGCACGAATGTCCTGCTGTCCCTCATCCCTGTTTATACGATATGGCTTCAGGCATGAGAGTACTGCTGTCCCTCATCATTGTCTGCTTCATGTGGCTTCAGGCATGAGTGTACTGCTGTTCCTGATCTCTGTCTACTTGATTTAACTTCAGGCATAAGTTTCCTGCAGTCCCTCATCCTTGTCTGCTTGATTTGGTTTCGGGCATTTCTTTCCTGCTGTTTATCATCCCTGTCTACTTGATTTCGATTCAGGCATGAGTGTCCTGCTGTCCCTCATCCCTGCCCACTTGATTTGGCTTCAGGCATGAGTGTCCTGCTGTCCCTCATCCCTGTCCATTTGATTGGGCTTCAGGCATGAGTGTCCTGCTGTCCCTCATCCCTGTCTGCTAGATTTGGCTTCAGTCACGAATGTCCTGCTGTCCTTTCACCCCTGGCTATCTGATCTGGCTTCAGGCATAAGTGTACTGCTGTCCCTCATCATTGTGTGCTTCATGTGGCTTCAGGCATGAGTGTACTGCTGTTCCTGATCCATGTCTACTTGATTTAACTTCAGGCATAAGTTTCCTGCTGTTTCTCATCCTTGTCTGCTTCATTTGGTTTTAATCACGAATATCCTTCTGTCCCTCATCCCTGTCTGCTTGATTTCGCTTCAGGCATAAATGCCCTACTGTCCCTCATCCCTGTCTGCTTGATGTGGCTTCAGTCACGAATGTCCTGCTGTCCCTCATCCCTGTCTGCTTGATTTGGCTTCAGGCATGAATGTACTGCTGTCCCTCATCCCTGTCTACTTGATTTGCTTGATTTGGCTTCAGGCATGAGTGTCCTGCTGTCCTTTCATCCCAGTCTGCTTGCTTTGGCTTCAGACAAGAATTTTATACTGTCCCTCATCCCCGTCTACTTTATTTGGCTTCAAGCATGAGTCTCCTGCTGTCCCTCATCCATGCCTACTTGATTTGGCTTCAGACATGAGTGTCCTACTGTCCCTCATCCCTGTCTGCTTGATTTGGCTTCAGATATAAATGTCCTGCTGCTTTCCCTCATCCCTGTCTACTTGATTTGGCTTCAGGCATGAGTGTCCTGCTGTACCTCATCCATGTCTGCTTGATTTGGCTTAGGCATGAGTGTCATACTGTCCCTTATCCCTGTCTACTTGATATGGCTTCAGGCATGAGTGTACTGCTGTCCCTCTTCCCTGTCTGCTTGATTTGGCTTCAGGTATAAATGTCCTGCTGTTCCACATCCTTGTCTACTTGCTTTGGCTTCGAGCATGAGTGTCTTGATGTCCCTCATCCATGTCTGCTTGATTTGGCTGCAATCACGCATGTCCTGCTGTCCTTCATTCCTCTCTACTTAATATGGCTTCAGACATGAGTGTACTGTTGTTCTTCATCCTTGTCTACTTGCTTTGGCTTCAGGCATGAGTATCCTGCTGTCCCTTATCCCTGACTAACTGATTAGGCTTCAAGCATGAGTGTCCTGTTATCCCTCACCCATGTCTGCTTTATTTGGCTTCAGGTATCAGTGTCCTGCTGTCTCGCATCCCTGTCTACTTGATTTGGCTTCAGGCATGAGTGTCTTGCTGTCTCTCATCCCTGTCTACTTGATTTGGTTTCAGGCATTTCTTTCCTGCTGTCCATCATCCCTGTCTACTTGATTTGGCTTTAGGTATCAGTGTCCTGCTGTCCCTCATCTCTGTCTACTTGATTTGTCTTCAGGCACGAGTGTATTGCTGTCCCTCATCCCTGTCTGCTTGATTTAGCTTCAGGTATCGGTGTCCTGCTGTCCATCATCCCTGTCTAC